TATAAGATACCTTTGCCGAAAAGTGTTTAACAGTAAACTGAAGGTGACTATGGTAAAACAAAAATACGATGCATAAGCCATGTTGGAAAAATCACACTATGCTCAGAAATGGTGGGACGGCCAATCACACTGGAAGTAGCATCTTGGTTATCGAGAAATGAATAATTAATTGGCTCGTTCATAATCATTATCCATACTAAGTACAGGTGTCGTCATTTCCCGCAGCCTCCTGTCTCCAAGAGGTAACGAATCCGAACAACATGTGCTTGGTCTCGTTGAATCTTCAATCATTACGTTCTCTTGCCTGTCTCATCCAACAGATGAAGATACATAGTCCCTCGGATGGACGACAAAAAATGGCCTCTGCAAGCGTGTCACCTCATGACACACTTGCAAGGATAATGATTACTTTGCGACTAAACGTGAAAAACAGACTGAACAAAGATACAGCAAGGTAATGCATCAATTATTGACACTGTTTTTTGTCAAGTTTTGGCCATGACTTCAAATTCCAGTAGCTGGAGAACGAGTATTTTAATGCTGATTGCTCTAACATGTTACAAGAGAATATAAAACGCCACCTTTGACGTTTCATTGAGCTACATTTCAGATTTGTATCACAATAAATCATGACCGATCTTTTGGTATGTTCTGTGCCAAGAATTTCATATTTTCTCAAAACTTATTCGCAAAGTAATGGATGTATTATACTAGTGGCGCAGACTGATATACTTGTCTCCAAATGTGATCGCAAAAGAAGTCCACACCGCCCCCCTATACACAGGGCCCCCCAAACCTTGCACTCATTGTTGAATTTTCTTCATGAAGACAATTGCCATTCTCGCGCTTGCCTCTTCGACTGCAGCATTTGCCGCGGGGGATACCGCTGCCTCCGTTCAAGGATTCGCCCCCACGCCGAGCATTCGTACCGGCGGCACGGAAATCTTAGAGGTGTTGGGTCGATTTCCCGAGCTCGTCAAGGAATTCGACGTCAAGAGTAAGGACACCCAAGGCGACAAGGACGTCAATACTGACACCCAAGGCGACAAGGACGTCAGTACTGACACCCAAAGCGGCACGAAAATCTTAGAGGTGTTGGGTCGATTTCCCGATCTCGTCAAGGAATTCGACGTCAAAACTACTGC